TGTAATGGTAAATAATTCGTAACGCTAGATTTTAATACGGCGGAAACAAATGACTTGCGGTTTATACAAACGACCGCGGGGTAGGTTGGAAAGCGCCAGTATTTAAGGAAATATTTCCGTTGAGTGGAAAGCGCCGTTAGGAAAATGAGTGTACAGAGAAAAAATATGTGGAGCCCCTTAAATGGATGAGAATTCGGGAAAATATAAACTGCCAGAGGCACTATTCTAGTACGTTTCAATTTAGCACGAAATGAAGTTAATTATGCACTTCATTTTATGCCTATGATTTTATAGCGATGACAGTCGACTTTTCCGAAGCTTTTAGCACTTTTTTTCTATTAATAAATAACTTATTATTTTAAATAACCCTTAATTACCCTAATTCAACTTAATATGGATGTTACTTAGCTGCAATTTTGAATACCCTAATGACTTATCACTCTTATCAGTTTTAATTTAATAACCAGACACAGCTAAGGCAGATGTCGCTTAACAAACTTAATAATTCCTGAGCTTGAGACGTTGAGGAACTCCTGCGAGTTCACGAAGTGGTAATAGGAGATATATTTTATCACGGAGTCAGTCTGATCAAAGAACAAAAGTTTTATTCATGATTTAACAATAGTTTCCTTATTGAAACAATATCAAAGAAAGTATTTGCATAAATTCAATTATGCTGCTGTGTTTTACCATGTAAAACAGATACGGACGACGCACTTAGCACAATGAGTTCCTTTTCTAGACTAGAGCATTAGACGAGACAGAGTTTTTTAAAATTACGTTACAGTTTGCAAGTTGATGGCTGTACTACATTAAAAATAACAAATACAGGGTGTAGGACCGAAAGATAATTTTGGTTACAGTTCCCTCATAGCTATCTACAACTAAAATTGCGGTGTTATCGCAGTTAGAAGGTATCCGAATGGTTTTAACTTTTAAAATAGTTAATCTTTTATGGATTTAGATGGATCATTTTCAGTTTAAACTTTTATGCCTCTTGAGTTTATTTCATTGGATGCGCGATTAAAAATGCAAAACCCATTGCCATAGAAGCATGGCTACTAGCGGAACATGGAGGTGAAAATTAGTATAATATAGTTTTGAACAAAGAGTATCAAACGCGTAAATTAAATTTTTCTACAGCTTCTGTGACATAATATTGTCACAGTTTTTAAAGTTTTACTAACGGAATAAAAAAATAGTAACTAACTATGACTAATGTTTATTCAAATATGCGAGAAACAACTCTTTTTAACATTTTTTTTTGATATCTGAAACCTCCCAAATATGTCTTAATTTCGACGGCCATTATTCATTTTTATTTTACAGGAAGATAACTGCTATGATGGAACTATATGTACCAAATTTGAAATTCATACAGGGGTCCCATTAGGATGGATCATTCCATAGCTTTGATAAAGCAATAATAAACAAAAAGTATATCAAATCTACGACTACAGCTGTACACTTATTATATGAGAAAATTTTAAACTTTTTGGAAAACGGCGAGTGTCCTGTTGGGATCTTTTGCGATCTTAGTAGGGCATTCGATTGTGTTAATCGTGAAATTTTAATATCGAAATTAAATAACTACGGTATTTGAGGACCCGCATTAAATTGGATCATTACTTTGTAAGCATAAATTATAATAATTAGAATGTTTGTGGTAAATATAACTCGGAATGCTCTCTGGTAACGTTGGGTGTACCACAGGGATCTGTTTTAGGCCCTGTGTTATTTTTTACTATATACAAATGATATCGATACTCTCTCACCTAATACTAATACATCTTTAGTAATATCTAATGTCAAATCGAACCTTAAAACTTGAATGTGATATTTTATTGAACAACTTAAGTAATTGGTTTGCCCCAAAATTACATTTTAATATTGAAAAAACTCAAGCACTTCGATTTTGCACTACTCAAAATAGAAATTGTGAAACATAAATTTGAATATTAGTAGTAGTTCTCTACCTACTGATTCTGACAGTAAAATTTTTAGGTCTAAATTTGGACACAAACCTTAACTCGAAATGTAACTGTAAAAATATAATACCAAAATTGTCTTCAATAACTTATTTATTTCGAAATATTAGAACAGTACCGATCAACTCCTTTGTTTATACTATGCCCAAGTTGAATCCCGATTGAGATATGGTGTTTGTTTCTGGGGTAATTCAACTCTCTTGTCCCATGTTTTTATTACGCAAAAACGTGTTTTAAAATGTATGTTTGGTGTTTCAAGTACTCATTCTTGTAGAAATATATTTAAACATTATAGAATTTATATTTTTGAAATATGTGTATACATATTCAAACACAAAAACAAATTTGTGATAAATAACGAGTATCACAATGTCAATACCAGACAAAAACATAATTTTCATGTACCATTTGCACGATTAAATTTAACTACTCGTTCTCCAAACTTTGTAGGGCCTAAAATATTTAATTGTTTACCTGTGAAACTAAAAAATGTAAATAATGAGTTTTTATTCAAAACAAAATTGAAATAATATTGAATAGATAAGTGTTTGTATTCCGCATTAGAGTTCTGTCCTTCAATGTAATTTATGTTTGTGTTTGTGTGACTATTCCTATACATGTTGTTCATGTCTAAAAGGAAAATAAATTATTATTATTATTATTATTAAAATCCTTCTTCTATAATTGTAAATTTTCTTGAAATGCCCGTCTTGGTGTCATAGGTATTGAAACAAGTAGGTAATTGCCGACGTCCTGTACCTCACTAATTTTCAAATTTGTCAATTCGCAGNTATTATTATATCGAATTAAAGATACTCCAAATCAATTTATTCGCATTTTTAAATGATTTTCGATTATACAGGGTGTCTCATTTCTTCTGAACGTCAACTAAGTTCATTTTTTTAATCAGTCAATCAAAGTGACATCCATCTATTAACGCTAAAATAGTCATAAATAATATAAACAATATCCTACACTTGAATAAAGTCGAAAAAAAATGTTTACATCAGTATGTCAAATTTAACACAGGTTATATACCGTTAAAAAAATCAAGTTATCTATGATTTGAAATTAGGAACTGTTAACGTCCGTAATTAACACAGAGAATAAGTTGTTCACACTTGAATGAGAGGTGACAATCTTATCTTGTGATAGTGTTTAATTTCGGAAATATACAGGGCGTGTCAAATGTATCCATGAAAATTCAGAAACCCATAGAGGAAGTAGGAATAATGACACTTTGGTGTACAAACTTAATTTCGAAATTCCATAATTTTTAGAAGTACAGGCTATTAAAGTTTAAAAAAATGTTATATCTTTAAATATCTCGGAACAAATTCGTTCCAAAATGGTTTGGAACGATAGTGATCTCCTGACTTTTTTGCGTAGTTTTTACCGTTTTGGTACAATTGTAAGGAGGGTACATTTAGATAAATGCAGAATTTTTTATGTTAAAAAAACACACTTTCCGATACATCTTTTCACATGGCATTAAATATTTCTGATTTGGAATAAAAAATAATTAACGTCTTTTATCTCAAAAATAAACAGTGATTTTAAAATTAATAAATTGCAGTATACAAGTAGTATAGTAATATTCACCCTGTATAGGGTGTTTGTAAATAAGTGCGAAATATTGTAGGGGGTGGTTGCCTAAGTTATTTTGCGAAAAAAAGTTCATATAAACGTATATTGAAATATGCTTCGTTTCTGAGATACAGAATGTTTAAATTTTAATTTTAATTTATTTTTATTAATTATTTCAGAGTTTTAAAGATATTGACTCGAAATTTGTTGGTTGTTTTTTATTTAGAAATATTAACAGCAACCTACTATACTCCGCGGTCGAAATTATAGAGAGTGGTTCAGACATAATATAAAAACACTATTACCATAATGCGTATAAAATATAAAATGATTTTTATACGGTTCAATATTATTTATCTTTGTGCCGCTCGCTACGCACATCGACAGAATCTATAATCGTCTATAGACTGAGTTACACTGAACGTCGATCTATATTCTATCTCTGTCTTTTGCACTTGGTAAGGAATAGGGAAATTCTTTTTTAGTGAGTGTAACCGGACTTGATTTATCCGTCCTGAGAAACGTCATAGCATAAGCGTAGACGAGGGGTCTAATTCCATGGCTATAATAAACTTATAAATTAAAAAAACACAACTGGGTCGTTTTAAAATGCTGTAATAATTAAAATTGATCAAAGTGCCGGTTACAGCAAACCGTAGAAAAATATTAGATGTTATGTTTTATTATAATTTTTCAATATTTTCTATATCTTGTTGCCTTTTACGCAGACACGCCAATGGATTTTCGTTCCTGGCACGCTTCATCCCCCTTACTAGTCCAAAAGCTAGCGATGAGTCACTCTCTATAATTTCGACCGCGGAGTATAGATGATGTATCAATAGAAATTAAAAATACACAACTTGCAATAAAATATGTTTTATTTTTTCGCTTAAAAACGGTGCATCCTACGATATAAAATTGAAGAGACTAATTTCATTCAGAATTGATGACACATTTCTAAATAAATATCAAAACGGGAAAAGCCAGTGGCATACCATTTTTTTATTAAAAAATTGTGGCATTCTCGCACGAACGCCACTTGTGTAAAAAGAAATATCTTGATCACCCCAAAAAATGCCCATTTTTCCCTCCAAAGCGTTTTTCAAATATCTCAATATCTTTAAAACTTTGAAATAATTAATAAAAATAATGAATTTAAATTTAAAAACTCTGTATCTCGGAAACGAAGCATATTTCGACTTACGTTTATATGAACTTTTTTCACAAAATAACTCCCTAAAACCACTCCCTAAAATATTTCGCACTTATTTACAAACACCCTGTAGATGAAGAATTTGATTTGACGCTACTTTTATGTGCGACATTTTTTTGTATTATCCACATTACCAGAGCTGTGAAAAGTTGTCTCTACTTCGCTGTTACATCCTGTATGGAGCAATTCAAGTAACATTCCTTTTCTTTCAGGTGGTTGTCAATGTAAGTCGAGGAGTACTCTTGCCGTTCGATATCATCCACCATTTCTTCCACCACGCAGCGCTATCAGAAACAAGACTTTATAAAATATGACTACACCGGTGTGAAGAATCGCATAATCATGACGGTCGCCAGCAGAATATGCAGGAAACTGTCCCCAAAGGGCTTCGCCATTACAGCCATAGGACTGACTATACTCCTATGTGTCTACTACACCAGCTACACTTCCGACGTCAGCGACAGGGGCAGTCATTCACAGGAGACGAGGTCCATGGTGGAGAATGAAGTGGATGGGGCGAAATTTGGGCGTGCTTTTAAAGATCATACGGCGGACGCATCGGCTCTGAAGAAGGATTTGGAGATGTGTCCGAGACTTGGGGCGGCGGAAGCGGATATCAGTACTGCGGACGTGTTTAAGGACTTTGAGTTTCAGGTGAGTCGTTAGTCCTAAGTGTAGCGTGTGACATTCACATAATGTTCTACCCCCTTATATCTTTGATCTTTTTATCTAGGAAAAAATGGTAAGCACCAAAGACACAATTAACATGTCACATAATTTGCACAATAATAATTATTTTGATTAATTTTTTTCACTCTGTGTATTTTAAAATATTCGCGCTTCCTTAACATTACAGTCACATAAAGTTTGATAGGTTCAGAGAGGTATGACCAAAAGAGTCCTAATAAGAGTTTATTGTTAGCATAATCTTGTGGCCATGTCTTCCTTATTATTAGAAATAAATCTATGAAACATTATATTATTGTAATTTCGAAGAGGCAGTTTATGGAAATTTGAATAAATATACAGGGTGTTCTTTAAAAAAATGTACGTTTGGCTAGTATCTCCAAAATACAATATTCAATTGTTGTTGTAAGAACAGTTTTGAAATGATGCAATTGTTTTTCTGAGTAGTGTTTTGAAATGACAAGAAAACTTCGTACAACTTTGGCATATGCCATTTTTTCTAAATACGAAATCAACAAAGATGGGGCGAGGGAGTATAATGTTATGTGAATAAAACTGTATACCTATACATTACCGAGTAGATTTCCTATTACAAACAATAATAAACTAATTTCACAACAATCATAAACAATATACAGGGTGTTGAGATTTCATCCCGAACACCAAATTTTAGAATCAAAACAAGACAAGATTTTTGGTGGAATTATATTAGTGTCTTTTTTATAGAAAATCTGATAACGTAGCTTCACTCAGCATCTTTATAAACCCCATTTCACAAGTTTTATCAATAATTATTATCAGTTTTCTGAAATTTTTTTATGGAATTTGAAATTTCATTATAGGGTGGCTGTGGTGGTTTCCATTTTCCATAAAAAATCTTAATATGATTTTACAAAGCATAACCGCTTAAAGAAATCATAGCAGGCACTACATATAACTGTGACATTGTATAGAGACATCCATATAAAAAAAACATACCTACTAAAATTTGACAGGGATGCTTCTGATCCAATTTATATTTATTTCATTGCCATATTTAATATTTTTTAGTTGTCTTTACTTACCAGGTTTACCGTGTGAAAATACAAACATAATTTTAATATTTCTTATTTAAGGAGGTATATCGGGGTCCGAGGAAAGTAAGGAGCGCAGGGCGGTCCTATGCTTTTCTTATGGGGCTAAAGCACGCTGCTAATTTGAAAAAATTAAATTCTATTGAAATTATTTGCGATAAACATTATCTATATAGCAAAGAAATCTACTCATATGCACATAGCATACCATATTGACTAATTAACAACATAAAAATATCATATTTAAGTAGTTTTAAATTATATTTAATGAACGCATAAAGACTATGTAGATGTGGCAACAGCGCTAATAATTGACTAGCAGTTGTACACACTGCGAACCTACAGACCTCGGACATCGGAGATATTGCGCGTCAAATTCGGGTAAAGATGCGTACGCGTTCAAAAATGTATTGTGTGTAAACTATGTACAATATAATTATTATATATAGCAAATATATCGTATTATCCTCGCGAAGATTTGTATCCTTTATTTAAAATCCGTAAATCATGTGAACTGGTAAAACAACGAGAATTATGTTAATTTAGTTCTAAAGAAATGAAATGACACTCGCGCCCATCTCTCGTCCAAGTCAAAGAAAATGTTGGATGCAATTTTGAAGGTTCTGTGATAGAAATTACATTATTACTCACTGTTCGTGTTTTTAATCTCTATTTTAGTAATGTTACAAAAGTTTTGCAACTATAACAAATTTTTTAGATATAAAGATTGCTGATAAATATTTATGTTCTTTTGTTATTCTGTACAAATGCTTTTATCTCAAGTATTACTAATTATATTAATCAAGTAAAGAAAACTATATGTAACCCTAAATATTGCTGGGTATGGATTACGATGTTTTTATAAACCATTAAATGTATTAACAGGATTTATCAACTGTATTTTTTATTCCAATAAATATATCACAGCTTCCTAGCCTTTTTAAATTAATTTAGTTTTTTAAAAACATTACAAAAAATAATTTGTAGTGGATAATTAATAATCATATTTAGTATTATAGTCTATTTAGAAATGAAAGAGAATAATAAAAGCTTATTATGTATGCAAATCGTAAATAAATGTAGTACTGGTGCTTATATTCAATATTTTTATATTATATAGTTTCGGTATAGATGAGGTGTACTTTTAAAAAAACTGTGTGCGATCGGACTGTACTAAATTGTAGCAGGTAGCTAAAATTTAATCCCCGACAATCCGTCTTTGTCTATGCCGCTTCAATTTCTCGGTCCATTTCTCTTATAAGTAAACAATATAAAAACAGCATTTCAAAACATGAGGCTACTTTAAGCATCATAACCGGGTTAAGAGGGTTTTTAGTAATTCAAATAAAATTATTCAATATTATTATCAAAATATTTATTTAAATTTAATGAATAGACTTTTATTCCACACAAAAATATATGTATTTTGAAAATTCAAATTATGGTGAGTAAATGTAGTGTTGTATAAATGTACAATAAAGAAAATAAAAAAGTAGGTATATTAAAATTCATCCTCTGAATATTCTGATGAATTATCTTCGTCTCCTAGATTGATAACGATAGGTTCCACAGTAACGTCAATTAAATTATCGAGTTCCCACATTTTCTCCTCTTCTTTTTGTACATGATGTATACATCTTTGCCAGTTATCTGCAGTTACTCGTTCCAAGGAATTTTTTAACAAAATTTTCACGTCACTTAATTTAAACGTCGTATTATTTCGCGCTACATCTCCTTTTACCTGCGCCCAGACTAATTCGATTGGGTTAAGTTCACAGTGATAAGGTGGTAACCGTAGTACCGTTATTTGGCGATTTGTTGCCATTTCATCGATAACATATTTTTTCTGATCTTTATTAAGATTGACAAGTGTCAAAAGTTCCTTTTTCACCATATTTGTTTCAAAAGAAATGTTTTTTCCGGATAACCATTGAATTATATCGGCTTTCCTCCAAGCAGTCGTAGGCGTCCGCTCGGTCTGCCGTGAATGGTAACTGGCATTATCCATGACAATTACAGACCCCGGAGGAATAAGATCCAACATCTGTGTAAAATACTCTTCGAAAACATCTGCGTTCATGTCTTCGTGATAGTCACCTGTATTTTTAGATTCAAATAAAAGTAAACCGCCATCTACAAAACCACTGGCACTACCTATATGTGTCACTATTAATCTTCGCCCTTTACCTGAAGGTGCCTTGAACCCTGTTGAAAGTCCATCCAAAAATGCTTGTCGAAAACTTTTTACATTTTTATCTTGCCATACTTTTGTTACAGTATATCCCTCGTTGACCCAAGTTTCGTCTAGATAATAAATATTCCTCCCTTCGTCACGGAATTTTCTAATTGATCTTAAGTAGGATCTTCGCCAACAAATAATTTCATCTTTATCGATAAGAACTGACTTCCTGTTCTGCTTTTCCCAGCAAAAATTCAACTCTCGTAAGACGGCCCATAATTTGCTTCTACTGATTTTTGGCAAATCGTTGTCCTCTGAAAGTTCACTTAAAATTTTGTTTAGCGTTGGTATTTCTTTTTTAAAATAAAATGAGTGTACTTTTCTGCGAATGACATTTTTGAAGAAATCATCTATAACGACTTTTGACCTCCCTGTAGATGATTTTGGGGGATTTACAGTATCTTGTTCATTTTTTGTTTCCTTTAAAAGTCTGTAGATAGTCGATTTTCCAATCCCTGTCATTTTTGTTAGTATTAGTGTTACCCGATAATTACCTGAAACGAAATATTACGACGCCCATGGCCGGTTCTTATCTCGGGGTTTTATTACTCTCTTTCATTTCAAGAGTATAGTATATTACTTACCTTTTGATAATACCGTCACAACACATTTTCTTGTAAATCTTAACACTTTATATTATTAATCCATAAACAACAAATGTGTCATATAAATAAATAGTACATTAGTTATCTTTTGAAAATATGTACTATCAAAAGCTATTTATGTGTTTATTACTACATTTACTAGTGTGAACTACTCCTTTTGAAAATGCAGAAGATAGTTTCGGCTTAACTCTTAGCATTTATCAGTACTACGTAATCTAAATCTTTTAATTATCATATTGTTTTCATTTAACTTTTGAAAATTTCAATACAATCATATCACTCCTTATTGGATAGTAATCTTTTTATTGTGTATATTTTTGGTAAATCTTATCACTTATACTTATCATTACTTATAATTTTTTATAAATGTCAACACTTATTACTACTAATCCTTCAAATTAGTCATATTTTGTACTTTATTTACCTTTTGAGATTGATAGCAGTTCTTATCATTAATTACATGTATTTGATACTTTACTTATCTTCCGAAAATACAATTTTCTTTTACTCGTAATCTTAGTTGTATACTCCGTAACAAAAGCAAACGATGAGTTAATTACAGCAAGAGGGTATTATGCTAAAAAGCGAACCCTCCAATCCTTTCCGCTTCGGCTTTTAATCGCTTTTAAAAGTTGACGTATCGTCCGTGTAATCAGGGAGTCCGCCTGCGAAAAACTCATCAAACTTGCTCCCCCGTAAGAAATTAAAAAAAGTCCGCTGACCGTGCCCTATCTGCTTCGACGCTGGCGCGGTTGGGGGGGAGAAGGAGACGGTTGTCTCTTCCCACCCCCGTCGGGCCTCCATAAACCCAGCGACGAACTTAATAAAACTAAAACGACGCCACTTTCCCTTCTTCGGTCTCATTTAATTTGTTCTAAAAGCACTTACTGCGAGCGATGATTAGATCCAGGCTGCAAATGAATTTCACTCCATCGATTCATCGGTTCGAATGCAGGGTTGCCAAAGGGCATGGCCGGCAAGTACTGACAGACGAGAATTAAGGTAATTTTTTTATAACTTTCATAAGATTGTAAGTTATTTCTAATATAG